GAGAAAGTGACCGTTATGTGTCCGGCCAGACGGTCAAAATTTAATTTTTGACCGATTTGGCCACCTGAACTTGAAATTTTTAAGTCGCAATTGGCACTATCCGATAGCTTACTTTAAGATCTTTCCAACGAATATGCATATGCCTTGCGTAAGTCAAGTATAGGTGCCACAGCGATTGTTTGAAAAAATGGCTATTTTTGGCCATTTTTGCACTATCGAAGGCCATATCTTGAAAACAAGAATTTTCTGGGATATGAGCTATGCGGCATATTATAGCTTAGACTTGGGCCTAAAATCGGTGAAATTTTCAAAAAAATCCTTGAGCTTGTTTTCGAGGTAATGGACGTTATGTGTCCGGCCGAACGGTACATTTTTGGTTTTTGGCCAATTTAGCCACCCCACATTGAAATTTTTGGACCGCAAATGACTCCATTCGATAGCTCACTTCAAGACCTTTCCAATGATATGCATATGTCTGGGGGGTGTCAAGTCATGGCGCTTCGGTGACCATAGGGAAAAAAGTTGAAAAGTTACTTTTGGAGGCCGGCCACGGCCAACATGGCGGCCAAATCGAAAAGTGCCGGAACAAAAAAGTCTTAGTTTTTTGTGTACTTTAATCACAGAAAGTTTCAAAGAGATCAGAATCGAGTACGCAAAATCGCGCACAGACAGACAGACATTTTGATTTTTCATAGAGATTCATATGAAATTTTTAAAACGCTGAAGTTTTCGAAAAGTGTCATCGATTTTGACGGTTAGGGGGTCGTTGGAAAGGTATTGAGCTCTAGAATCCGAATATCGATGTTTTAGAGGTCAATGACCTTATTTAGTGCCATATATGGCCGTAGAACTGAATTTTGACCCTTTTCTTGAAAGGACCGTATTTTGAAGACGGGTGGACCGATTTTCAAACTTTGACATTTTTTCTTGATCTATGGCCCTAGGGCTTTCCAACCATACATCAACCGGGGCCAACGGCCTTCTAGGTCTGGATTTCGTAAATTACGTGTATATATAGCGAGTTCGACTTTTCAACACACTAATGTGGTTTCGTCACTCGCGCGAACTGCCGTCCGCTGTGATTTGTTCATTGAAGCGAAAATGATCAATTTCATGACCCGATTCGTCAAAATTATATTCGAATTCTTCGTTATCAAATTCCATTGCACGCCCATTGAAATCAAGTTGATTGCATTCGAGAAATTTCGAGAGATTCACCTTCGTATTGCATAAATGGCATAAACTCGAAACGCTTTGAAAAAGGTGCTTTCACCATCCGTAACAACATGTGTTATATTGTGCACTGCCAGATCATATTTTTTAAAGGCGTTTATAAGTATTTTGGTCAAAGCATCGTATGATTTTTGCCATATATCTGTCGAAAAGCTAAAACGAACGATTCCCTCTGATAGGACGAAAAATAGTGCACAGTAATGCTTTTAAAACTACGATTTTTCGATAAAATCGAATTTGGAATTCCATCGTGCTACGCACGGTGTTCTCAGAACACATCCGACAACTTCAACGCACGATTCATGGGCCCGATTACCCGGACCGATTAATATCCACAGTGCGTGAAGTTTGTTTATAGCAGATATTAATTAACGTTCTTTTTTTTTCACCTTGACATTTTTCAAAATTTTATTCAAATAATTATTTTTTTATCTTATCTTTTCGAAAGATATCTTATCTTTTATCAAAAAGATAAGATGAAAATCTTGAAAATATCTAGATGAATTTCGGAAAATTGAGATACTATCTCAAAAGTATCTAGATACATTTCAGATATCTTAACCAAACACTGGAAAAAGCCGTGTCGATGTGCATGATTTTAACGTAACCCATTTACTTGTGCTGTATTCACAGTATACTGTGTCACTCTTAAAATTTGTATGAATGTAATACACTCAATGTATATGTCCGTGCTGCAATGAATTGTGACTCTTGTTGTTCGTTTGCAAATGATTTTATTTCATGTTATCTCTTCGCTTGTCATTGCAATCACTTGAAACTATTTGCCATTAGGGTGGGCCACCGCATATTTACCAAAAAAGCGAGTAAAACTCGAATATGTGTGTGTATGTGTTTTTTTTAACTTCAGATTTAGAAGAAACAATGTGCATATATGGTGTGCAATTCCTAACATAAAATTCAACATGCTCAATGACACTCTACTTCATATTAAGTAATGGTTCTTGTATGTAAGCCATGCAATGTATGGGTTGTACTCTAAATGAATTATAATGTTTAATTTCAACATTACGAAAATAAACAGTTTTTGGCATGGATCCAATCATTAAAGCACAGCAGCAGAAATGCACGCACACCACTTGAAACTTTTCCGGAATCATTTCATTCGACAATTTCTCTCTCGCATTCACTCGGAAAAAGCTGCACACATACTTTATTCTCATTTAAAATTCGTTTGCAGTTTGCTTCGGATTTTATGTAAAACATTCACTCTATCGGATCAATGTCCTTTAATTTATATCATCATTGTGTTATTTGGCATTTAGCAACAACTCTGACAAATATTTATAGGTGTTTCATAAATTCGCATTGACAAACTAACGTCGCAAAATACACCTCACTCTCTCACACACACACACACATTTCGATTTTCGCCCGTGGGGAGTTAGGGAATCTTCCATCGGGCGCGACCTCAGGTGGCGGATAGAGGAATGCCCTCACCGGTGCATGCCGACGGGTAAGTGGGAAATAAAATACCACTCGTGGACCAAAAACCTCAACGATGACCGCTTCTCACATGACATTGATACCGAACACGGATTGGAACACAGCAATGGGCTGGCGTCTGCTTCCAGTGGTACCTGAGTAGACAAATTGACACCTTGTTGAAACGGCTTCCATGCTAAGGCTGTAGACGTCCTCGTCCCGATAAAACCTTGGCAGGCTTCAAGGAATGCTCAACGTTTCGTTACCATTAGCCTGGTGATGAAAGTTCAGGTGCAGTTTATCACCTGATTAGCACTGATACGGCTCTGAGCACATGTCCCCATAAGGGCTTGTGCCAACCCTAGCATGGCCTCACTGCTTGCATAGACAGCCATGGGATCATATAGGGACTACACATCCGAACGTTGATAACGACCTTGAGGGGGGACCCAAAAGCATGGAAAAACAACAAAAACCCATGACAGAGACAGAGACGGAATGTGAGAAAACCACATTCAAAAGAAGCTCAAAAATGGCCAGGTCGCCAACGGTGGAAAAACAAGCATCACAACGGAGTAACAGTGAATGCGAGCCACAAACACAACTTGTCGGAAGAGAAATAAAATCGCTAGTGGAAACGCTAGAAGAAAACGGCGGCAAAAGACGGTTCATCCATCAGCCAATGAGAGATGCCATCGAAAGCATCAGAGCCCTGTACGAGCTAGTGGCGATTCAGAGACGAGATGAAGCTGCGAAAGAAGTTATCAGAACGAATAACTTCTCTCCACACCGAAATTATGCCCCATAAGAGACTGTATAAAATGCAAAACTATAGCACTGCTAGCGCCACTACGGACAATTATGGAGTTCTAGTCCGTTGGTTGCAACTGAGAAAATGTCTTTTCACTATTTGGCGGCAACTTAGTGTAGATTACATTGAATTCCGTCGTGGCGCTAGCAGTGTGACAGTTTGGGCATAATTTCGGTACGCTTCTCTCAAACCACCCATGGCCTAATCCAGGCGAAGCCAAAGAGGAAGCTCACATCAACAGGTGACACCCCCGAGACCCCGAACCCAGTGACTTCAGGACGATATCAGACGACGCGGCATTAGAAAAAACACATTTTGACATGCAAAAAACCTTTTATGATGCATATCATTCAGTATAAGAGAATTAATTGAAAATCGAAAATTCTGATCTATAGTATATACCTGATGTTTCAACTCATTCCACTAACGTTTCACCGCTTTGGAACGATACAGGTTGGAATCCTTGAAGTTGTCTTCAGATAGAGAGCGTTTAAGAAAAGCTCTCACTCGAATGAATGCGGTAAATTAGTTTATCTGCGAGAAAAGAGTGTGAATAGCGTGCATTAAGTCATGCATTTTACTTGGTAGATACAAACAAATTGAAATTAATCAAGTTGCTTTTTCCCTTTTGGAGACAGACAGACAGAGGGAGAGAACGCGAACGATTGAAAGCATGTAAATTTTTTGTCGCATACGCTCATCCCATGTACAAAATATATATTTTATTCATACAACTTTGGCGCGCTTTGATACATTCCAAATGTCTACTTGAACTCTCCGAGTTTCAGTTTTTTTTTTTTCGTTGCTTCAGAAACACTTTGTGAGAAAATAGGGTTACACCATATAGACGACAAATAAAAAAAATTCTCTATGCACAGGCACACTTAACGACTAAATTTACAATTTAAGAGCACTTTTCATCATCATTTCTTTTCCGAATATTTCGCCCTCACACAAAAAGAATAAGTGAAAAAGATAAATACAGGAAAAAGAAGGGAAAACTTGACTAAATTTCCACTTTAAACTTATAACACAAACAAAATTACCTTTTATGCCTTTTACACTGCATATTGTACATTGTTGAATGCATACACACTACATATATGTATATGTGTGCGATTTTGTTTGTGTTAATTTAACAACTTGAAGATACATACATTTCGATTTCATCCGAAAAATGTTTTCTCATTTGCCAAAGTCATTAAAGTTTCAGTCAAAGCATATGCATCGATGTAATTCAACAAGTTGAAAATTTGATTTTAAACAACACAAGTGAGAAGAAATTGTTGAAATCTCTGCTTAAAACTTTCAAATATTATTGAAATTAGTAATAAACGCTTTCAACATTCCGAAGACATCTGCATCACTCTGATCACAAAAGATAAGGCAGCAATTACATTTCGAAATTTCTATGGAAATGAATATTCAAGCTATTTGCTATTCTAAACCAATATTCATTTAATAATATCTAATTAATATGAATTTTTATTATTATTTTCTTTACTCTTATTAGACATGCTATGAAATGGAACGATATTTAAAAGATGAACCAAAATTGCAATCGTATAAAAAACTACCAACAGATTTGGATTCGGCTTGGGATTTATTTGCGACACCCGCTAGAATTCTGGAAGAGTTGAATTATCATGAGCACAATTTGGATTCGTTGTCAACGAGTTCAATGTCATCAGCGTGTTCAGGTGTATCATGGGACAGTGCATTAAGTTGTGCGGTCGTTGTGAAAAAAGAAAAAATCGATGAAGATGAAGAAAATTCCGATAGCTGTGAAGAAAAATTAGAAAATAATTTTTGTGAAATTCCCATTCAAATAAAAACCGAAATTAAAACAGAGAATGCAATTGAATTGCGACTGCTGGCTCGTGCCACAACAACAACCAATACCGCCAATCATACCACAGCCGTTTCGGCCGATCAAAATGAATTGCTACCAACGCTGACGCCACCATCGTCACCCGAATCGACAACGATACGACCCACCACCGAGGCTGAATTGGCATTGCTTAGTCATCAGGGTTTGTTTAAAGTCACCACGGCAACTACAGCGGCTGGTGCACCAACAACAAACGGTACAAATCATCATCAACATCATCATCATAATCATCATCATCAGCTCCCAAGAAGTGCCATCGTAAGACTCACGACGGCTGGTGGCAAAAATGCGGTCAGCGTCACTCGTTTCATTCAAGTCAATCCAAATATTCCAGCAGCAGTCGCTACTCAACAACACCAACAACAACAGCAACAACAACAAAAAACACAAGCACAACGAACAAAAACAACATCAATCAACAACACACCATCACCAGGTAAACTATTTCTTAAGAAAACAGTTTTGGTGTTGAATTTTTCTGTATCAAAACCAAAATTTGATTTATATTTAATTCTTCGTTAAAATAGTTTCAGTTACGACAACAACAACAGCACAAACAAAACAGAATCACCAAAGACAACATGATCACAGTCCCGATTCAAAGCGCCGGATACACAAATGTCAATTTCTCGGATGCAAAAAAGTCTACACAAAGAGTTCACATTTAAAAGCCCATCAGCGAACACACACAGGTATAATATATTTCATTTTATATTTATCTTTTACTTTTAACATTATACGTAGGCGACTATTTAAGTTTCTTCAATATGTATGTTTTAGTATTGCCCGATGCAAACCATTGTCATATTCGTGAAGTTGGACATTTTTCATGACCTTTTGACTTAACAGGACGAATTTTAGTTTTGTGGTATGGCTACGACAGCAGCTTAAACATGACACTCCAAAAAGTGCACTTTTTTGAATATGCACCTAATTTCAAGTACGAAAAATATATTGTATCCAACTGATTTTGGTCTCTGGTGGACAGAGGGGTCCCGAATAATTCGTACACGGAGTATTGTGCATCAATTCGATCTTTTGGGTGGTCAAATAGTCGACTGTTTGATGGGCTTCTTTTTGCCATGTTTTGGGATTATAAGTTTCAGAGTTTTGGTCTCCATATTCCCGTGATGACTTTTGACAATCAAATGGTTGTGTACTATTCAGCATTGAAGGACCTTTCATCCTCTAAAGGCATGGTAGCAACATGACACATAACACTGTAAAATAATGAGGTCCGATTTTCCCTATCACTTCACAAACGAACAACTTTTGTTCGATTGTGTTCATGTTCGAAGACTCAGAGAGTCAACCAAGTTTTTGTTTCAGGTCCAAACTACTGGAATCATGTCTTGGCTTCTATTGCGATCGTATAGACGTGTTTTTATTATCCTATGTCAAATTGGTTATGATTTTTTGGATGTGATTAAAATCAATCGATTTTTGAGCAACTGTGGGTTGACACGTAAAGATTTATTTTTTTCATGTTGTAATTCATGAAAGAACCAAATGATTGGAGTCTCTGTGATCCTTGGGCATACCACAATTTAACTGTAAAAGAAACTTCGATCCTAACTCAATCGGCACCAGAGTTTTTCTCGATGACATCAATTTTCGAAGGACCATCGCGCAATTGATCACTGTAGCGAGCACCATGACGATGGGATTCAGTGAACCAGTTGTATACAGTGGCAAGGCATGGTACTTCCTTCCCATACCCCGACTTGAGTCGGAAGTTATACTGTTGAGCAGGCAGCTCTTTTTGAAAACTTATGAGAAATAATCTTTTTTGTAAATTTCATTTTTTTGCGAAGTTGACCTTTTCCAACTGACACCGTGGCCATACCACAAAACTAAAATTCGTCCTGTTAAGTCAAATGGTCATGAAAAATGTCCAACTTTACGAATATGACAATGGTTTGCATCGGGCAATACTAAAACATACATATTGAAGAAACTTAAATAGTCGCCCTCGTATATGAATTTGAGACTTGGTATTCTTTTGATATTTGATATATAACGATAGAAAAAAATTTTTTTATATAAACAAAACGACCTAAATTCAAACGCTTTTCGAATACTTGATGCGAGAAAATGTAAAAAAAAAATATGAGAGAAAGAGAAATGCCGGGTGAAGATCGAAAATATTTCAAGCGAAAATGTTGTGAAAACTTGTCGCGCGCAACTCAAACAGCAAGATTATTTGTTAATAGTTAGTTCAATTTTAGATTGTATACATACCCGAAACCATATTGTTCAATAAGTGGTGGTGTTGTTGCTATACAGATAGAGCGAGTGTAAAAAACAGTAAATAGTAATGAAAATCGACTGGAATAAAGCCACAAATCATCACCATCTTCTACTCGTGTGGCATGGGTAAGAGAATGAATAGATGAAAGAGAGATACTGCTTCATGATGTACTATTTGAAAAAAAAAACGGAAACACTATGACTCGAAAACGTCTTCGTGACAAAGAAATATTTCACGTGCCTCTCATCAACAACAACGAAAACAAAAGGCAAAAAACGCAATGATAAAATGAAAAGTAACAACAAACAATGCGCACTTCGTGCTGTATAATAAGGAAACGATTTGGAAGGCAAGTAAATGCTAAAAGTATGGAAAAGGAATTTCGTTGAAAATAAATTATGCGCGAAAATCATTTAATGCAATGATGTTTTGTAAGAGGAATTCAACGACAAAAGATGCACAGCCAAAATGTATAAACGACAAATAGAAGAAAATTGAGAAAGAGATATCGCGGGAGCAAGGCACTGCTGCAAGTATAACAAACAAAGGCGAACCGCACAAAAAAACATTGATTCACACTTGCATCCCAAATGAAAAGTCGAAAAGCAGATATTTTGTATATATACAAATTCATTGTCGAATCTGTTGCTGTATATGTACCGTTCCGGCACACAGATCGCATTCCATGCATTTTTCATACGATGGTATACGTACTCAATCCAATTTTTCTACTCTGAAAACAACGAAACAAAGCAAGCGAATGAGAGAAAAATTCTCTCACACTTTTACTTTTCTTCAGCAATTTTTTCGCCATAATCTCTCACACCTTTTGGTCTTTGTGTGCTTTCTCGCTCGCGCCACTTCTCATTGTGTTGCACTTCTATTTCCTTTCACTATTTTATTAATAATCTCATTACTTTGTTGTTGTTGTTATTGTCTCGTTCGGTCGAACATTGTTTAATATGAGCGGTATGTGTGCAGCAAATGCTGTCAACTAACGGTTTCACAGGGTTCGTGAGGAAAAAAATCGAAACGGCAACAGAGAAAGAAGGAGAAAGCAAGACATTAGAGTACAAAATGACATTGCATTTTTAATTTTTCCACACATTCATTGTAGTGCCGTGGCTCACATTCCTCAAGCCATTATGCCATTCCGCAGTGTTGGTGCGTTTGAGCAAGAATGTTGGTTGTGCCTCGCGCTCAACTTCCGCGGATATTGCAATCGAAACCCCGCCGGCTTGGAAAACAATGACATACGCTCGCATAGCTCCCCGGCAAATGCACTTATACTGAAGAAGATATCAAAAAGCGAAGGAATGAGAGAGCAAAACACAGAGAGAAAGAGAGGGAGAAAGAGAAACAAAAGTGCAAAATAAGCGAAACGACTAGGAAAAATGTAATTAAGAAGCATAAATGCACAGATGAATCGCTTCTTTGATGTTTTTGAAAACCCGTTAGTGAAACGAAAAAATGCATTATATTTTTGCTCACAGCCAACAGCAATAACAGCTGCAAAGTTTTTCAAACTTATTTTTAACCCATCTTTCATTCTCTTTTGGTCTCTGTTTCTGTCTTTTTCGAACACATTCGATCCACCCGCGCGCTCTACGATCCATACTCGCTCTCTCTTCTTTTACATTTGCTGGTTTCATTTTTCGCATCCTCATATATTCAATCCCCGACCTGATTCAATGATGGGTCTCATGGCATGAAACGCACAAATTGTAAATAGTATCATATTTAATAATTGAATTTAAAATTACTTTTGCCTTGTTCGTCCCGTTACTTATTATATTTTCCATTGCGGGCTATGCTTTTCGTTCGTCAATGACGAATCGTCATTCACTCGATGTCGGCCTTTTGTTCGTCAGCATCACCACCGTCGCCTTCCATTACTGCCATCATATCGACCGTCGCACAACGGGACACATATTGTCTGTGTACATTTTGTTTTTGAAATTTAATTGAAAAATTAGCCTCGTTCATAAATGTATATGCGAATGGCTTACATTTTTGTCAACATTTGTTGCCATATTTTATTTTTACATTAAACATAAAAAAACTCCAATTATTTTGAAAGTAACGGAACTCGATTGCAAACCAATCAAATTTTAGATTCAATTCAATTGAACGGGTCTTATATTGGTGAAACAATTCATGTGCGTGATGACATTATTTTGAAACTGATTTTCAACATCATGGAATTGAACGGTAAATTTGCCACATCATTAATTTTAGAAAAATTCAGTCATGGCAAATTTATGTACACCTCAATGTTTTTTAGATAGAATATTGCCTCTAATTCTAGCTCTAATTTGACTTTGAGATGTTTTGTGATTAAGCCACACACACACTCAGTTATGAGTAGCATAAAAATAAAATAATATCCATATTGATGGATTTAATAATGTTTCTTACGAAATGTTGTAAATACAAATTACAACGTCGGCTATATGGTGAAATCATAAGCAAGCTTTTGTTACTAAATTCATTCCTAAACAGCATGCGAATAAAATGTTTTATGATTGCAGCAAATCTCATTTTTTGGGTTAAAATATTGCAGTTTATTTAGATTTTCTTAGAAAAGTATTTTGATATTGAGACTGTATGCTACTAGATAATTGCTATTAGAAGGTTTATTCACATTTTCGCAGTTGATACGCTGTTTTTGAGCTACACTTTTTTTTTGTTTTGTCTACTTGGATCGCTGATGCTGCAACACTATTGCCGCGAGTATCTTCATTGTCATATTGTTGTGATCGTTTCGCATAATATGTGTTGCCTTCTGAAAACGATCTCATGATGCACATGAAGTGCATTTGATGGATAGTGTGCGCACGCCTGACAAGTGCAGTATTCTGCTGTAAAACTATAAAAGAATTTGGACGGGACAAGCTGAAACATATCGAACATTCGAACGAAACCAAGTATCAGTACGAATGAAAAAAATATTCATTCTCTCTTTCGTTCTGTTCTGATCTCTATGCAATACCATAAAAATTGTATTATAATCGAGAAAAGAAAATAACAAAGTGCCAGGATGGATAGAAAAAAAAATGTCAGACAGAGTTGAATTCTTTTCATCCCTTTCAACTCGCAAGTGGAAATACAAAAAAATTCATATCGGAGAAATGAAATGTAAAAAAACTTGAGTTTGATATCTTATGCAAAACGAGTTGGATAGAAAAAAGAGAATGCAATGCTGCTTCGGTTTTTCTCCTCTTGTTGACCACATTTCATATTAATTAACGCCGCAATTTGTCGTCCGCAATGTCAGAGGTTTGCCGTTGCTCATGTTTGTTGTACATACCAATGTATTGACGCAATTGCATTCAGTTTTGTTGTTGCCGAAACAAGACTTTGATTTTATTGTTTGGGCCATTTTGGCACCCCTTCTTTTACATCTCAGCAATTGTTTGGTCTGTCAGTTGCAAAAACCGC